TTAACTGAACTATGGTTCTAAACAACGTATGTATATTGTTTATACGCATGTTTACTGTCATTTTGTTGTGTCACTTATTCAGAAGTTGTACCTACTTAGTACATTTAATAACGAAGCCTTGTATAGCTCTGTCTATCTATATAAACGACAGTTATATTAAGGTATTTAAAAAGCTTTTAAATCATTACGTGGCTTACATGGTTTGTATTATAAATTTTTGGTTTGTAGCTATATTAAAATAATTTTTGCGTCTTTCATTTCTCTTCACCGTATTGTTAGGTAAAATATGATACTATCTATTAACGTAGTCGGGTTTATTTGTGTACCAAATTTTTTTATTCGTTTAGCACGTAATAAACGCCTGCTTAAATTCAACGACATTTAGAGAACGAAGCAACGATAAAAAGCCAAAACGTATTAAAACTAATATTATTAATTATTGATAATGATTATAACTATTATGGTTGCTATTTAATTTAACTATTATTAAATTAAAATATAGTCGAAATTTATTATCGATTTTTAATGGGATATTATAATCATATTAAGATGCGTAGATATCAACATTTCCACTAATTCTAATTTATTAATTAAAACACTACAACATTTAGTCAATTTATACATAAACGTGGCATATTAAGAATACCTCTTATCATTATTTTAAATATTAAGGTTTATTTTTAATATACTATACTGGATATCGGGAATTTAGTAAGCTTACTGTTTTTGTCGTTTCCGATAATTGTTTCGATTTCATCTGGAAGTCTTCCTAAGGATGAGTACGGTTCTTTCGTCTAATTAAATGTTCTAATACAGGTATAATATGATCTTTATGCAAAATTGAATACCCATCATCTGCACAACGTCACTAATGTTTTGGTTTGTAATCGGTATTTGAAGAATGTGAACACAGAGTTCAGCTGTGACTGAGCACGCTTTGCCCTCTGGTGTGACGCACTACATACGTTTCGACAAGGCTCAAGTCTTAGCAAGAAAAAAGCTGTTCATTCCTCGTAACATTCGTGAAGCAATAGAAATTGGTTTGACACCCTAATTTCCATAGAGAGACAAAGGGTTGTTTTTATCACTGATTCGAAGAATATTTATCCATGGATGTTAGAGGCCGCTAAAATAACTTAGAGGAGATACAGTGAGTTTTGTGTGCCAGGCTCTGTGAGAGGCTTTTACAGTCAACTACAACGACGCTAGACACCATCACTAACCTTGTATAACTCAGGACTGATTGATAAAAAAGATCCGTCAAAAATATTGAATATATCTGTAAAGTACACGTTTTACAAATATATCTTTATTATCATTTCGTTTTTCCTGAGTCAGATTCATTTTAGATTTACTGAATGAGCCAAAGCGAGAGTTGCGAAGATATTAATAGATATGAAAGATATGAATTTAACTTCATTATATCTCCTGAGTTGAAGGTTTAAATTGTATCTTTATAATCGAGTTAGATGGAATTTTAAGATATATAAGAGATATCTATTTCATTAGTGACAAATATTATATATATATATATATATATATATATATATATATATATATATAGGATTTACTATTTCTAAAAATCACTCGTATCTGATAACACCATTGCCCACCGCAATCTTTGCCCCCCATCCTGCCTTCACCGTTGTCTTCACTGGTTCTGTGAGCTGCGGCCCGCAGTTCGAGGCAAGACGTTGCTATTCATTGTACTCACCTTGAAGAAGATTCTCGAATAAAGTCGAAATAATTGTCGGAAACTACAAACACAGTAAGTTAATTAAATTTATGATCGAATATTACAAATAATCCTTAAGTTTTAAAATGATGATGATGAAGGACGTATTCGTAATATGCCAGATTTTTGTATTATATTGACGAAGTATTAAAAATAAACAGTTACGGTGTTTTTTTTTTTATATTTACGCGTAATCCAGACATTTATTTTTAATTTTTTTTAGAACACTGGTAATTTAATCAACGACGTATCCAATTATTCATAAACCTTAGTGATTCCACTTTTTTACTTTTAAATGTTGACTATTAAATTCTCTTTTGTCAGTTTTTTTAAAATTCCCTTATGTTTTCCATAGCATTCGGGTACATTAAAAATTATTCTGCTGAATGTATTGAATAAAGTTTTGTAACATATTAATTTTATTTATTTATCCAAAAAATTAAAAGTAGATAGTAGGCAGAATAGTAATAGGTAGTAGTAATAATCTAACTCTAAAATTTTTACAATTTTTTACGAGCCAAAGCACAATCGTTATTTACGCGTTTAAATAACATTATTTTTAAAATAATAATATTTATTTCTTTATAAAAAAATATTATTTTAAAAGCTTTATCTATTAGTTTAAATACACTTTTATTTTTTTTTACAAAGAATTACTTTGTCCAAAAGCATATAATTATTCTCCAAAATTTACCGTCACTCTCAAGCTCACGTTGTGCTCCACACGTAAACTCCGCATCACAGTTTATGCTCCCCAATATATTTTTAAATATAGCCCAAATCGTATTTGTGGTATCTTTTTTTTTATTTTTCGATGTATTGTTTTATTTCCGAGACATTTTTTTTTAACCGAAACCGACCGAAAGACCGCGTCTTTGTGGGGGGCCAGCATTTGTATTTTTTTTTAAATTGACCTTATTTATTTTCTGCAATTTGTTATCCTTGTTGAGACGCCCATCACCTACGGCACCAGCGTGCACTTTCGCTGTAGATCAATCCTATATCGAAACAACAAAAAACCATTTTTTAATATTAAAAAATGAAATTTTACACGTACTTATTTTTCTTAAGTTAGATTTTTTACACTTCGTATCTAACAGATTGAAATTATTTAAAATCATGGAAAAGATCAAGAAGTGGAAATTCGTATTGTCCTACTAAAATATTTGTATATATATATATATATATATATATATATATATATATATATATATATGTATCAATATTCTGAAACATTGTTGTCTTGTCTAGATAACACTATATTTTTTTATATTTATGGCCTTATATTTGTTTGTCTTTGTACTTATTTGAATTAAGGTCTCATTCTCAGTCTCATTTAAAATAGCCTACTCGTGTGTTATTTCTGGAATATAATTCATGTAATGATATTAAAAATAAATCTTTCATTAAACTATAATAATTACACTGTTAGATAGGAACATTACTAATAGTTATAAATCATTTAAAATGCATTTAATGTAGGTTGAAATTATTAGTACTTTAAAAAAAAAAGGGTTTAAAAAAATACTAGTAAGCAAGTACTACTAATAGTACTACTAGTAATATTTTTCCTGAAGAAACAAAGAAAAATAAAATATTTTGCGTCTCTTAGTATGAGCGTGCGTATATATGATTGTCGTAAAATCAGTGGTTTTAAAATAGCTGGGTGATGACAGAAACTTTAAAAAGACATGTTTCATGATTAAAAAGTAATGTTTGTTCATATAATTTTTGTATTTTTAACGGTCTAAGTGTAACTGTGTATCGGGATCAATAATAATCATTTGCTTTGTACGAGGTTTGTCCGGAAAGTACGTATAAAAGTTTTTTAAAAATTTTATTTTACAATTATTCAGGTAAATCAATTTTATCCCCTTCAAAGTACTCCCCCTGTGACATAATGCACTTGTGCCAACGCCGTTTCCACTGTGAGAAGGCTCCTTGAAAGTCCTCTGGTTGTAGGTTTCTCAGCTGCCCCGTCGTAGCTTTTTTTATCTCATTTATGTCCCCCAAATGCCGCCCCCGAAGTACCAATTTGGTTTTTGGGAACAAGAAGAAGTCACACGGGGCCAAATCCGGCGAATAGGGGGGGGTGTTCGGTCACCGTAATGGAATTTTTACTCAAAAACTCACGGAACGATCTTGGCGCAAATTTTTTTCATTTGAAGTTCGTTTCTTAGAATTTCGTGGACCACGGTTTTGCCCAAATTAAGCTCTTCAGCCACCTGTCTGACCGTTAAACGACGGTCCCCATTAACACAAGTTCGAATTCTTTCCACGTTTTCGTCGGAATGTGAAGTGGAAGGACGTCCTGAACGTGGGTCATCTTGAACGCTTTCTCGGCCCTCTCTGAATCTTTTTAGCCACTTGTGGACGGTTGGTTCCTTCACAGCATCATCCCCATAAACTGTTCTGAGATCGGCAAAAATTTCACGGCCATTCTTGCCGAGTTTCGAGAGAAACTTGATTACGACGCGCTGCTCTTCAACGGAAGCGGGCTCCATGCCGACGGGGTTTCGTTAAGAGGTAACTTCACAGATGGCGTGACAAGCCAGTTCGCACCGCACGGCGGTCAGACCAGAACTGAAGCATTGTTAGGGACATAAGGAAGGGGTCCTGCGCTTACCTGGCCTCCCCACTCCTCTTTCTCGCATTCCAGAACACTTTTATACGAACTTTCCGGACAGACCTCGTATCTATGATATCTAGAAAAGTAGCTTCTTGTGCCGTTTTGCTTTATCTGATTTGATAAATTTAAAATTTGATAAAAATTGATTGTTCTCACGTTTGGCAGGCGGGTTGGCAATAGATTATTAGGGATTAATTTAAAATGCATAACCATCTATCCTCTAATGAGAACAAACTAGTGCGTAACAGCAAAATGGCGTGTGATGCCACTTTTCAATAAGTAACGAGTAGTAAAGCAGAGTTACACTCATGCCGCCTTCTTTTGTAGCGTTTAGCTCTTCCATCCAGGCCGACACTTGCTTTCTACCTCGTGAAAGACATGGGTAGTGAGATGTCCTGTACATCACAATTCTCACTACCTTGTCTTTCATGCGGATTGAGCATATTTCTGCTTACTACGTGGAGAACAGAAGAATACGCATAGAAGATTCATCCTTTTGATATGCCATTATAATTTTATATTGGGTGTGTACTTAAATGTATTATAAACCTATCTATTAACCTAAATGTAGACTTATATATTATGTGCAGTGATTGCTGTAAAGTCGTTAATATCTACATATGATAAATTAATTGAAAAACTAATGATACGACTAGAGATGGGCAATCCACCTGGGTGGGTTTAAAGTCTGGTGGGTAAAAACCGGGTGTTTTGGGTTTATTGGGTTTAAACCCCATAAACACCCAAATTTTTGGGTGTTTATGATTTTGTACTTCATCATCGTCATCTCAGCCGCAAGACGTCCACTATACTGGACATAGACAATATTATTATGCAGCCTACAGAATAAAAAACTTTTAATTTGATTTTGAGTTTATTAAGAAAGAGATGAAAGTAAAATGTAAAACTACAGTCAATCACTGTCAGATTCAGAGTTATTACAAGCGATGAATTGTATAGGTTCGATAGGCTCTATTTCGTCTAAACTGTTATGTTCATTTACTTGCTCAATGAAAGCTTCTAAGGTATTTTCTTCATTAAACTGAATGTCCTCGCATTCAGCTTTATGTTTAAGATTCCAGTTATAACAAATGAATGAAATTTTTTCAGTTCTTTCAGTTGTAAGTCGATTTCTTTTGTTATTATGTATGTAGCCTTGGATACTAAAGGAACGCTCAGTGGCTGCCGAAGTACAGGGAGCTGATAGAATACGAATCGCTACTTTGCTTAACTCAGTGGAACCACAAATACCTTTCCACCATATTAGGGGCTCAATGCTATCTAATGAGCTCCATACAAATCCTCTGGCCCAAAAGTTTTCTTTAGCTTTATAACACGCCAAATCTGCCATTACATTTGACAAACTTAAGTGTTGGCTTAAATTGTAGATAAACTCCATACCCTTAAGTTCTTCCTCTTGAGTAAGTTCGACTCCTAGAGTCCTGGGGTCTAGAATATATGCTGCAAAATGTATTGGCCTCATTGCCATATTGCATCTTGAAGATACTGATGTTAGAATCTGCTGTTTGCTTTCTTCGCTCAATGTCGAAATCTCATTTAATGCAAAACGTATCTTAGCTTGTACATCTCTAAATGTAATGTATGTGCGATGCAAACGATTCTGGTCGCTCTCTAAGTAAAATATGCTTTCAGTGACTGGTTCCAAAATACTTATACATTCCCCTGTCTTCGTCCAGAAATCATCACTTAGAATTAAATCTTTAATATCTCTTGAAATTACCACATCTTCTCTAACTGTTAATATTTGCAAAGCTATCTTATTTGCTTTCAAACTTTTTAACGAAGTAACATGACTTCCCCATCTTGTAGCACAAGGCAATTTTAGTGTTTGTGTAGAATCTTCACCCTGCCTTGATTTTATCAACAAGGAACTTAATCGTTGACTCCTTTTAACAGTTTTTATTATATTTATGGCTTGCATAATAAACACAGTTACTTCTTGTATCTTTACAATATCTTGGCACAACAAGTTAAGGATATGTGCACAGCAACCGAGAGGAACAACATGTGGATATTTGAGTTTTGTTAATTCGAATGCCTTTTGTATATTTCTAGCGTTATCGCCAATAAGTACAAGAAACTTATTTGCTCCATACACTTTCATTACTTTTTCAACTTCTTGGCTAAGGTATTCACTAGTGTGAGGATTACTTTCTGTATTCAAACTTTTAACGTATGCAGGTTGAGGTTTTGATATAAGAAAGTTTATTATTCCTTCATTTCTTAAATTAGACCAGCCATCGCACTGAAGGTGTAAGTAACTACAAGCATTTAGTTCCTCATTTAACTCAAAACGCATTTCTCTATATATTTTATCTAAGTATTTTGTCGCTAAAGCTTTACGTGAAGGTATTTTAAATTTTGGTTGCAATTTTTCGAAAAATTGTATCCATAAAGGATGTTGCACCATCGATAATGGCGTCCCTGTTACAAATATAGCTCTCGCTAATTCTGTTTTTATATGATCATCGGTGTCTTGAAACTCAGCATTTATTGTAGTGTTAGCAGACGACGAGGGGCTTATAAAAGAATCATTTGTCTCTATCTCTGACAGTCCAGACATTTTGGTTTTGGACGAGCTATCTTTTATAAGTTTCATAGAGTCTTTTAATGTTTCTGGAGATTTTGGACAAGTGATAAGATGTTGAAGCATTTTGGCAGCATTACTGAATTTGTAGACCTTATTACAAAGCTTGCAAGAAACAGACTTGTTTGGTAAAGTACGGTAGTGCTCCCATATGCGTAAATCTTTAGGTCTCCCCATTGAACCTAAAAAAATGAACGATGATTAGTTGGTCTGACGAAAATTCAACAATAGAGTGCCTATTTTTTTACAATGATTATTTCTTGTTATTTACAATAAATTTATTAAAAAAATAATAAAATAAATACAAAAAACCTTTGTAAAATTACATCTCCTCGGAGGATTAAACGCAGACGCTAGTTTATTATCGTATTGTTCTGTATTTTTCTCAGCAACTTCTTTAATTCGATTAGGTACTTACGCATATTATGTTAAAAATAAATATCTAGTACACATCTTAGGCTATCCACCATTATTATCCAATGACGACTCTCAGCTAACTATGCACTATCATCCAAAATAAACGTGTATGGAAAATTTTATCCCAGTCGGTTGAGGATTGAGGATAATTGCATCAACATACGAACATACCTACATACTTTTATTTACATAACGCAAGCTAAATAAAAGCTTGTAATAATACATCTAATTTTAAGTTAAAATTGTTAAGTGATCATGATATAATTGTATCATTCAAAAATCCACTTACCTTTAATTATTTCTTGTTAAGTATAAATATTATTTCAAATCTGCTCCCTTAATATGCACTTTTTTACTGCTTTTCCTACCTAACACGTTACCAGGAAGTCACGTTACCAGAGTCAGAGTAATAGTGAACACGTTTGACAGTGATTGTCGTCGCCTCATATTCAGCGTCGACGAATAGGGGAATCCCCAGTCATAATGTATTGCATGCGTGGCGGTCTTACTTCAAATCCATAAACAAAGAGATAATTACAGAACTCGATACTAGATGGCGCTGTTTTTGTTTGAAGAAAGTTTGCGGGCTAAAATACATAGAATTTCATCAATGACTTCCACAAAGAACAACATTTCTGTTTTTTCTAAGTCCGTATCTCTTCCGTATATTTCATAAGATATAAGCTTGGGCTACATTGTTATGCAACGTGATTTTGTCGCTGTCTTGCTAGCAGGGTTGACAGATATACGATTTAAATCGTACTCATACTATTATTTGTCTATTTTTTAATGTACGATCGTAAAGATTATGATCGTAATTCGCACAAAAACATACGACTTTTTGGTTACCTGGCAACATTTTTATTATGAAACGAACATGCTCACATCATCAGTCACATGCAACAATTTATTGGGGTTTTCCCTTCACATCTGGCAGTCCTGCTTGCTAGAATATAGGTAAGTCAGCCACAGTTACTGACGATCGATATTTAAAGGGTATTGTTTTTGTGCTAAATATTTCATAAAAACGTTATTTAATACTTTGTGGATTATTAATTTAGTTGATAATCACTGGAAGTAAAATGGATGCTAATTTGAGAGATCAAGATCTTCGTATAAAACAGTTAATAAAAGAAAATCTACGTAAGTACTCTTTTTATACCTAGGTAGGTAAGGTATAATAAACACAAAAGGTACTTAGATCGCGTGTGTTCGAAGCATTTATTCTAATAAATTTAATTTAAAATTGTAGAAAGAAAAAAATGTCTGCCAAGCCGTAGCCGAAGCCGATCTCCAAATATATTTGGCGATAGTGAGACCCAGTGTCCAGATGATTTACCCAGCGTCGTCGCAACAAAGAAAAAAAACGAGGATAAAGTAAAAGAAAATTTACTGAAAGAAGAAACAAACTGTTCTAAATGCTTAATTTATGGAGAAGAGGATAAAAGAAATGAGTATTTCGGACTGTTAGTGGCTCAAGAATTTAAATATATACGGCCATGTGTGCGAACGAGGTGTTATGAAGAAATTTTAAAGTATCTACGGGAAGCAAAAGGCCAACATGTTGATCAACTGCAACATGAAAACACTGAAAATTAATTACTTTCATTTTATTATATATAGATTTTTAAAATTTCCTGAAATATTATTAGTTAACGTTTTATTTAATATTGTAGAATTGATCAATACAATTTATAAAAATAATTTATTGGTATTACTTACATATTTTCAAAAAAATACGTAAAAACCTATTTTTTTGGGTGATTATGGGAGTTTATGGGTGTTTATTGGGTTTTTACCAAAGCACCGGGTTTAAACCCGGTGCTTTGCCCATCTGTAGATACGACATTTCTCATTTCGGTCCACCCAATCTCAAACAATGTGTTTAGTAACGAGTATAATGTAAGTTTTATTTATATATTAGATAGATGAACAAGGCAATTAAATTTAAACATTAAGGCGATGGCCACAAAATATTAAGATATTATAAAATTCTGAATAATTAAAGCATTATTATTTACTAGATACTAACTACGATTTTGACGTGTTGAAGACAACGGAAAATTATTTAAAACTCACATGGTACTGTTTCTTCCACTTTATTTTTAGGCATTGAGCTATTTTGCAAGTAAATTTTGCTTATTCTCGTTCATTATAATTTCGATTTTTAATTATAACAGCTATTCGTTATCTTCTGTAGATTTCCACAAGAGACGATCTTGACTCCACCTGCAAACATAGATTCCTTGTAACAAATTTGAGGATCGCCTTACACTTTGTCACTCGAGATCCTTAGCAAAATGATTTATATTAATTGTTATAAAGTAATAAATTTATACAGAACGCTATATTTAAAATATGTTTTAGGTGACCTAGTTACCAGACCTGTGTTAGAATAATTTTTTTTTAAAGTTTTCTTTATTATTCGAGATTTGAAATAGTTACTCTAAATGAAAAAAAGGAACCGGAATTTGATAATTGGAAATTTTATATAATTTAAAAATGTAGGATTTTCTTATGAATGAAAGAAATTAAGAACGTACCTGCAAATATTGTAATAGAATTATTTAATTATAAAATATTTATAGTATTTGCAGAATTAATTTACGTTACAAATGCAAAAATAATTATCAAGTAAAATCAGTTCAAAATTGTCACGGATACACCATGACACACACTTTAAGAGAAAAATACTCTTTTATAAATGGCATAAAAATTAAACTCCTCCTTCATGGTTAGTTATTTACATGTTGTTGCTCTTCGTTGTTACTTCATCAATTAATCGATTAATAGCTTTTGTGATAAATTGATGCGTAGGTAGTTTTGCTCGGAATATTGTTTTGGCAGTTTCAGTAATTTAGCGTTCTTGATATTGTTTGCTCTTAGTATGTACTTGTAGACTATAAAAAAGACATCAACCGATATTTTTACAAATATACAAATTTCACACAGAAATTGCATTCACTCCTAAGCAATACTATTATGAATTACATGTTACGTTCAGCATATTGGATTACCAATGCCAATTGTGGTTTTAAAAATTACTTCTATGATACTTAAATAAATATTTTACCAATTCATTTCATATTCTCAAAGCATAAGTAAATATTTTACTATGCTGGCCAGACTGCTTGGTATAGGGTTTAATTTCTTCCATTGATACGTTTTGTCTTGCTTACGCAATTTTCCGATATCGCAGGAATTAAGCGAACTCGTAACACATTGTACGGAATATTTAAAAAAGAAACTTACTACTAACTTTATAAATTTCTGTCAACGTTTCTAAAACATGAGAACTAATACACGATCGATAATGAGATTCATGGAAATATTTGTGTTTTATATAAATGCTTACATATATAAGCGTCTTCTTAATTAAGAAACCTCAGCATTCATTATCTAATTATTTGTCAAAATAACTAGCACGTAAAATTAAAGATTCACTTTTTAATATAAAAAATATTAAAATATACATTGAAAAAACATTTTATATCATATATATTTTATATGTTTCTTATAATAATTTAGCACTAATTGATGTTAATATCATCATCATCATGCCAGCCCTTAACTGTCCATTGTTGAACATAAGCCTCCCCTTGGAGAGTTTTGCTAGTAGTTGCCACGCTTGGCAGGCGGATTGGCAACTGTAGCCGTACTTTAGAGATGTTTTAAGAGGGACGCTGCTGATCATCCCTCGTCCTCCCTTAGTCGGCTCTTACGATACCCACGGGATAGGAAAGAGTGGCCTATTCTATCCTGGAACCATACGACCATAAATTGATGTAATTATGTACAAATAGCAGTTTTGAAGAAAACATTCGTCATAAATCTATATGATTTTATAAAAATCATAATATCCAATAACCAGTGTACTAATCCCTTGTCCTGTTGTGGAGGCTACCCGCAAACAGCTTGTGTCTAAAATTGAGAGTATTCTTGCCAGTCTTCGGCTGGGGTATACTAAACTTAGTCCAATTCAACCCTACCAAGACACAAGCTTGCCCATTCACCGCTAAGAAGTCTCCATTTGTTGTTGCTCCGAAATGCCAGACCACGTCCGCTATCATCGTCAAGAACATTGGAATTCTTGATGTCGACATTTCCAGTACGGTTCGGTTCCGAAGTCATTTGGAGAACAAGGTCAACCTGACGTCCAAAAAGTTCAGTGTTAAATAAAGCGAAGCAGTACTTCACCTTGGGACCTCGACTGCTATTAAATAACTCACAAGTCTGATCCCATATGCTGTACTGTTCTCATTTGTGGGCGAGCTCCTGGATACCATCTTAGTCCTTTTGAAGCGGTCCAAAGGCGTGTAATGAGAATTGTTAACGATCCCAGATAAACAGGCGGTGCGAGCCCTTTAAGGCGAGACATTCCTTCGCTTTGCATCAACTACCATCTGTATAATGGATTGTGTTCTGAAGAACTCTTCAATATGATGCCTACAGCCGCCTTTTACCATCATACTGTTCGCTATCGGCAGGGAATCCATCCTCACACCTTAGAACCAGAATAGTTACGTATAGTGCAGTTTCAGAGGAGCTTCGTGTCGAGATTTACCGTAGAGACTACAGTATGGGGCTCCTCAAAAAGGGCGTATTAAGGTTTCTTAAATCAGCAACGCGCGCGTAACATCCCTGGTGTCACAGGCGTCCATAGACTACGGTTTACCAACAGATGGGCCGTATACTTGTTTGCCTTCACAGTGAAATAAAAAAAAAATGAATTAAGCTTGTAAGTTAAATTGTAATGAATTGTTAGTTGATTTTTTATGTTCAAAATATTTAAAGATAACCATTTAATTATAATATAATTTATTTGAGGTTTTTTGATTTATGATGATTCCGGGAAACTTGTTGTAAGAAATTATTAACACATTTCTTTTATACTACATATTATCATATTATATATAGTCTTAGCTCCCCAAAATTAATATGAATTTAATAATTTCTTTAAAACCTTTACCTCGGTTTGTAGATAGAATTGAAATTTATTCATTTTATATTACGGCTTTCTGTAGTGTGCCACTGATCAGGTGGCAATAACACAGTCGCTCATGAGGAGTCGGGAGCTCTACCCGCGTCTTATTAATATTATTATATAATATTTATTACTAAATAAATGTTATTATTGTCGCGAATCATAACGTTCATTTTCGGGAACGAAGAACGATGTCGAAGTAGCGCCATTACTACCAGGTAGCCTAGTGTATCTATCTAGGAGGCAATCAGAGCGCGTGTTTAAAGGTTAGTGAAGTTTTTTTATCTGCCTTAAGATCAGTGGTTGTAATTGTATCCTATTCCTTATATTCATATATAAATTCTAAACTACATTAATTAGGTTGTTCTTTATATCTAATAAAAGAAAAATAATTTGAAAAAAGTAAAGGAATGAGAGTTGTAAATTTAAAGTCTCTTTCTCTGTTCGTGTGAACACTGAACAATGTGGTCTACATTCAATGCGGTTTGAATTTTAGATATAATAACACCATCCATCACAACATAGTTTTCATTAGGTTGTTGTTGTTCGTAAGGACCTATTCAAAAGTATTTTAATTTTTAACTCTTGACTTGTAAAGGAAATCATTCTTGTAGTTTGACAATAAATTTCCTTTTTCTTTCGAAAAACCCGACTTCAATCGTCTCAAAATTTGTATGAGATCGACAACTTGAGCAAGCGCGCACAATGGAGTCTAATTTGCATTTACAATACTCGATTTAATCCTATCGATAGCAAAAATATTATTGTTAAAATAGGTTCGAAAGCGACGTAGACATCGCTTGAAAATATCGTTAATTGGAGAACCGAGTTTATGGAGATACTTGAAAAACATAAGGTATTATCATAATAATTTCTTTTCGATAAATGCTGCTGGAAATGATCTATTCGAAAGTAATTAATTTAATTTGTGCT